TGTTCACTACTTTCTGTCAACAGGTCATCATCATATGACACCTTTCAATCGATTCTGCAACTTGAGTGGAGGTCGGATGCATGGCCTATACTGAGACGAGAATCGGACGATGACGATTGCCCCTTTCTTGTCGCTTACGTTGGAAGAATTATTCTAGACACATTTCGAGAGTTGCCAACGAATTAACTTGCAATGGTGAAGAAGGGAGCGGCTTTTTGAGTGGCCGAGAATCATCCTCGATAGATCCTCGACGCAAATATCTCCTCAACTAAGAAGCTGTAGAAGAAGCTAAACAGACTGAAGAAAGCAAACCTTCCGCTTTCCAAAACTGTCTTCCTTTTTCAAGTTCTTACAAAATTAGAGAGATATTGCCTTTTGAAGTGGCAAAAACTCGCATGAAAATTTCAGCGTCCTCGACGTTTACTCGACAAATTTGAGAGACCCTATCTCTTCGAGTGGAAGGCTTTTAGAGCAATTTCAACACTGGTTGATAACAAGGAAAATAGCTCTATCTAACAACCCTACCACATACTGTTTAAAAGGTTATGAAATGGGGAATGGTACCTTTTCAACGAGGGTGTAGATTTCCATGGTTTAAGCGGGGTTTCAGCAAATCTGACCCAGTGATCAACCGCGCCGCAACTGCCGATGAATTAGCCGTTGTTCTCTGAACTTGACTTTCACTTTGCTCGGTGAGGTCGTGTCAAGATCCCGATATCAGGGGGTGCTGCTGCTACCGTCCTCGACACAATTTTCACCCTGATTGGGAGTGCACGGTACCAAAGTGTGTGTTGTGAATCGCGTGCCTGGGAGAAATTTTGCTTGTGAAGCGTACTCTAAGGCTGACCGCTGCGCAACCGCACGCTTCATCGCTGTAGATTGCGAACGTGCCTGGACAATTGCCGACCAAGCTTGTTTTCCATTTTTTACAGTTGCAGTATCGGTAGAAGGTGGAATTTCGAACGAATTCATGAGATTTATTCTCAAAAAAAAAAAACAAACGACAAATTTGAAAGGAAAGGAGTGCGTTTGAATTGCATAAGTATGCTGATCTGATTGCGAGATGAGCTCAAGAAAGGTGTTACTTTTTTTTACAACATTCGATCAAATCCGAGCAATGTCTTTTTCAATAAGTATTGATTGGAAGAGTATGCACGACTAAACATGACCCTGCTCTTTTTGTTCCTTGAATCGTTCGATATCTGTGAAGTATCGAAAGCAATTGCAAACAGTGCGTAGATACCATAGTTGTAGAAATAAAGTGGAGCCAAGTATCGAAAGCAGAACGAGAGCGGAGCGTTCTGCAATCAATCCGTATAAATACGGTTCAGATTCAATGGAAGTATTTAGACTTTCTTTTCCAGAGTCAGTGGATGGTGTATGTCACGGCGATGTCCGTGACATGCGAAGTAATTTGATACTTCAAGCTCGTTAAGAATCACAGCAATGTTTTATGGACGTGAAAGAAAAGTTAAGGAGCATGGCTTGGCGTAGAATTAACCTAATACGTAAGAAGATGAGCAAGGCATCCCCTCATTCGGTCAACAATTGACCAGACCTTGGGGTAGAAAACAGTCCGATTCGACACAGTTTACTAGAGATGCCATAGAGTCGGCAATTTCTCCAAATAAATATTTTTGCAAAGAACATCCATCTGATGTGAGAAGAGATCGGCTACGCAGAAGAATAATAAATCTCTCCAACTAGTGTGTGGTGTCATGAGATCCAGAATCGCGCGCTGCGCGCCAGAAGAGTAGTCGATGGCAACGGCAGGAATGACTTCCTGTGCTGCTTTTCGTGACGTCAATGCTGCGCGCTAGCCCACTCGCAATGCCGCAACCTGGATCTCTTGACTCTCATACAATGCGTGTGTAGGAAACAATGGGGAAAGGAGGGCTGGTAAATTACCAGATTCAAATGTTCATCAAAAATTCCATGACTTCTTTAAGGTTTTAAAAAACCTATAGACAAGCTAAACTTACTGTATTGGGTTTCTGGAACGCTGACGTCGACAAGGTGACGAAGGATGTATCTGGTGTTACACACTACAGAAATACCAATCATTCCCATGGTGATGGCTGTTGCAAAGGCGGTGGTAACCTTAAATCTTGTTCTCATTAAAGGTTTAGAAATATCTGCTGGCTGTTTCCAGTGTTACAGGGCTAATACAAGCGCTAACCTGAAGAGCAATGAACGGGTAGAAGAGCTTGGCTTTTTTCTGCATGAGCCCGACAAACAGGAACATCAGACATACTGTAGTGGCTGTTAATGGAATCGCGAAAAACTTTAGGTTCGGACGATGTTGCTGAAATGGAGAACTCTCACCTATCAGATCATTAGGGTTCAGATTTGTGTGGATTAAGCGGTCGAGTCGGTCATTGTGCCCTTTGTATCGGACAACCAGGTGCATCTGTACTGCAGACCAAACAGAGTATGTGACGACTGCCTCCACAAAATGTGATAGCTTTCTGCTGGCGAAATGATTACTCGATTGCAGTTGTATTCTTTGTTTGTCACTAGTCACAGCTATTGTAACTATCACTTATCACTATAAACTATTAGTTCTCGAATTTTGTGAATGCCGTCGTTACCTATGTTGTTTGTTCTGCACTGCAGACGTACCTGGCTATCGGATACAAAGGATACAAAACATCGCTTCAGACGATGCTTTTCGCTCTTTTGGCGGCACCTAGTGGACCCGTTTTAGACTAAGCGAAGCGACAGCAGAAATGATCAGCGACAATTCAACAAGCAGTCCAACACGATTTCCTTTCTGCCAAGCCGAGCTGTTCCTGCGGTGTTGGTGAATCCATCACAGAGTTTTGCCGGAGTCCATCGTGCTAGACAAGTTTTTTCTAATATTTGCGCCTCACCCCACGAAAGAGAGGAATTACTAACGGGACTCCAAAAATACTCACCTCTTGAGAAGTAAAGATGCAGTAGAACAAAGAGCAGCAGATTACAATGAGAGCATTGAATCCAATGAACCAGGTGCCTGCCTAAACGAATAGTGTTTCCGTTATCGAATATGAGGTCTTTAGTGATTTTGAATCAAAGCTAAAAGCATGGCGCATCCTAAAAATGTCACATCTCTGAGTTAAAGGATCACCTTGGGAAATTTAATACTGGGTGGACGGTCACTCTCCCTCCTACGGTATTTTTTTGCCTGAATAGGTCCCCCTCCAAAATACTTGTTTATTATGTATTGTTTGATTGTCCTTATCACTTTTTTGGAGTGAGGAGGAGTGGAGGGGAAGGGGAGGGAGAGAGGGGACAAGGGGGGGGATGAGAAATGGTATGAGATTGGCGATGCGTTGTCCACCAAATGCGTTTTCAATTTTCAACGTGCCGTAGAAGAAAGGTTCAATCCTCTTGTTAGTAATAACAAGAGAAAGTGTGAGAAATTTGGCGTCCATCAGCCCTTTGTGATGCGCCACACATTCAAATTCCATTAAGATTCGTAGAGGCGATTAAATGCAATTTGACATACATAGTGATCTGCGGGTTAGACGATGTGCTAGCCGCACCGTCCGTTCGCACTATTTGAACGAGAGGCCGTATTACGCAACGAGGCCCTATTTGTGATTTTAGGCAAGGGGATTACATTTGGTGGTGAGCTGCCCCCCTGTGCAATCCTCGGCGGCCCGTTTTACATGGGGGATAGATATCGCGCGGGGTTCGACGTGTGATCTGGTCTCTCGTCAGAACCAAACCACTGAAAAAGCCATGCAAGGATGGTGGCTGAAGGAGGAAGGTTTGATACGTCGAAAGAGAATGAGGGTTTGTGCTGGAGCCTTTCTTTAGATTGTGAATGATAGGCCAGTCACATGACATCCGCCACGAAAGGCCGAGAGGGGTTCGCAAAATTTCCGGATAATCGCGAACGCAGCGGTTAACTCTGTGCGCTAGTCGATGTTTTAGTGCTTTTAGATGTGCCAATCATTCGACGCCAAGGTATGGAACTTTTGCTTGTCTAAAAGGTATCCGATCTGTGATTTCCACTCCCGAATTGTGCGTGGGGTAAGCGGTGCCGCTGGCTTGGTTCTTTGTTGCTAGTGTGCTGCATAACTTTTCCCCTTCCGCCGTAGAATATTGATGTGATTTCTAATGAGCTTTTAGCATTAGATTTCTCCACACACATTCACGTTGTAAACGCACTGTTCAAAAGGGAGTAGGCGCTGTACTTTAATCAACAGTGATATGTCAAAAAAAGTTATTTCAATTAAAGGAGGAATTCACGATTAGAATGAAGGTCGAAGAAGGGGAAATTCACCTAGTTGGGAGACCGGCGGACCTCCTGAGGGTGCACTGACGCGCAATTGGCAGCGAAAGATTTGACCTCGGCGATCTAGCATGGCTCACTCTTGGCGCGGTTGGCGGGGTACGCCCACCGACTATCTAATCACTCGCCGCAGGTCTATACGTGGCGAGTGATTAGATAGCAGAGAGAGAGCGTAGTGTTGAAGAGGGCACAGCGATGAGAGTCGCATCAATGCGCAAATCAACGGGCAAGGAAGGGGTCCCATTTCTCGGG